TGCTTACAAACCATTTGGTTAAGTATGAAAGAGATTTTTTGAGTATCACTAACCGTGCCCTCCTGATTCAGAGACTTCAGTTCAGCAACTGTTTCGTTATGAGCAATAATTAACGCAGCAACTTCATTTTCAAATTTCGTTTTTTGTTCAGCTAAATTATGTTCCAGTTCTGCTATCTATAAGGATAAGAACATTAATTTTTTTTTGAATATCCACATATAGCAGCAAAAAGAAGAAATCAGCCTAAATCCGTTCCTAAAAGCAATAATGCAACCGTGTAATCAATAAAATTAAATTTATAGTCCCAGAATTTAAAAATAATTCAAAAGCTGAACACGCAAACCTTCAGAGCATCACTCTTTTCCGACTGTTCGTTAACAAGACGTTTCCAGTGCGCGGCTTCCTTACGCAGCTGATCAATTTCATCCCTCATGCGTGCAACACGAGCATTATTCGCTGGGAAGAACCCGTCATCATCCCCATCATTTAATGATTCTTGAATTGCATGATGAGTTCGTTCTAATTCTGCCTACAACTTCATCTTCCATAAATATAAGAAGAAAAGCTTGTAAAATCAAGATTTAATTTGTCTCACAAAATGGAAACGTTGAAAGCCTGGGTAACTTTCAAACAAAAACTAGACTAGCATAAATTCCATTAGTCGATAAAATATCGAATTTTCTTTTCAAATTACATATGAGAAAAAATAAAATGTGCTGTTTAAAAATGTTCAAATGAAACTTGAAAAAAAAGCAGGTGGTATCAAATTTAACGATAACGAAAGCCGTGATACGTAACATTTTACTGTAATGTTATACCTGCAATGCACGAATTTGAGTGTCACGACTTTCGATCACGCCAGTATATTTCTCATTTATTGTAGCTAATTCGAGATTCTTCGCATAAAGCTCTTCCTCAAGATTATCAATTTTCTTCTTTAACCTCTGCACATTCTCTTTTTCGTTACTGAGCTCTTTCTCTGCTTCCAAGAACTTTTCCCTGATAACCTTAAAGAATTAAGCACCATGTAAAATCAAAAAGACTCATTTAAAAACGATATAATACAAAAGGACATATAAATAACAGTAGTAATAATATCAATAACAATAATGATAATAATGATAAATAAATTGATTAACTAATAATAACAAAAAATTTCCGGAAATTATTATTAAATATGGTTAGATGCATCATCATACCCGCAATTCACTTTCCGGGTCATTCACCTCTTCAGCAGCCTCATTTAGTACTTCGGATGCGAATTCCGATAACTGTCCTTGAATGTTACGTAGCCAAGAGCTCATCATTGGCTCATCTCTTCCGTTCTAAATGATATAAGCTTCAATCTAAGTCTCGAAGTACCCCTCCCTTCCTCATCAATGTATCAGAAAAAATTCCGAGAAAAAAACTATAAAGAATACTAATGGAAAATTATCGTCTCAAGACCAGAGCTGTTTAATTAAACTCGAAATTAATAGACTGCTTTTTTTTCCATTTACCAATCTTTTTCTCACATTCCGTTCCTTTCCATTTGCTTATGTAACCAAATTTATGTTTTTTCTTCATTCTTTTTTACTTTCCTTTGATGCCCTTTTCTGCATCCTTTTTTTAAAATAATCGAAAATGATATCGAAATTGGAATCAATCGCTTACAAATTTTTCAATTCACTAATACTGATACGATGTAAAGCGATTGCCACCATATCAGCAACTAAGATCTATCGATTCAACTGCTCTCCAAGAAACCAAATCATCACTATTTACCAATGTCATTAATTTTTCTAACAGCAAGAAATGCTCCCGTTAAAAGTTTCTAAAACTTTTGATGTGTAGTTAACAATGAAATTCTGGTTGAAATAAGATTTACATTTCGAAATTCCTATTTATTTCCGTGGTATATTTATACAATGTAAGAATTTGAGGGTTGTTAACAATTTCTCTATCAACTTTTCGCTTTGTTTTGTAGTTAGAATGAATTGTGAAAGAGGAATTTGGAAAAAAAAAATCGGTTAACGCCAATATAATTAATCCTTATAACATTTTCTTTATTCATTAATTTATTATACAGATAAAAATATGTTTGCCGTACTAATGGCGTCAATACTGGTTGCTTTTTGGTCTTTGTTACTTTGCACCGTAAATTTGGGTTACGGCGATCGTATTCCTCCACATTATACAATAAATTTGGATTTAACTCCTGAAAATCGTTGGGATAAGGTTATCGATGATCATAAGGAATTGATTCCGGCAGTTATTGAAGAAATTCAGTAATAATAAAAGTTTATGGCATTTGAAAGATTTTGCAAATACTAAATATTAAAGCTCATTTAAATTTATTCATTTTAGTTGCCGAAGTCAACAATTAATAAAAGATTTTTTTTTTAATTTTCATACAAATACACGATTTTAGCCACTACGTGCCAAAGTTGTTACGGCCAATTGTATGGTGGATTGATGAGAATATTTTGCTCAAAAAGTTTCCGGAAGAATATGCCCGAGAAATGCGTGGTTCTATCTTATTTATAGTGATCATAGTAAAATACAAATTAAATTTTGTTGATAGTAGTAGCATGCTATCTAAAATGGGAAATAAATGTTTTCTATAGTTTAAAAATGTTATAGACATGATACTTTTTCGAAAGTGTTGCAATTAGTTGGTCAAAATTAATTCTGGCCTTAATTTAATTAAATCCATTAATGTTTGACTGAAGCAATGAATAACATTAATTCTTAGTTTCAGCTAAACTAAAAGAACTTCAGATTAGCATTTTTTCTCCTTATTTCTAGGTATTGCAGCGCGGAGTGGCCTTAGAATTGGTGAAGTGATAGGTATAAACATTCTGTACGACATTTCCGCCTTCGATCGTAAACAGTTCAGTCTTGAATGTATTATTTCTATCCATCGGTATTATGGCAGTTTGCAATTACATTCAGTTTTAATTTTGGATGTTCCAAAAAAAAGAAAAAATTATTGCATCCGATTTTTTATTCTCTGAAATTGTTAAATTATTCTCAAATCTTTTATATTATGGACGTTCGATGAAATAAAGTTAAGCAAAATTCTAAACGAAAGCAAAAAATTTCAAATTTTCAATCAACATATTTCAGCATATTAGCAAACATTGGTTGCACATCTATTGTTGCAAAAGATCATAAAGGTCGAATAATTCACGGTAGAAATTTGGACTATCCAATGACTTCGCTTATTCGAAACTTGACAATTATTGCTGACTTTACACGAGGAGGAAATGTAAGATTATATTTATATAAAATCTTTATTTTTAAATTATTCAAATCCTCTTCAATACTTCTTGCCAATATCACAGAAGATCTCTATTTAAAGGTGCTAACATGTACATTTAAAAATAATACCTGTTTTTGGACACCTTCGAATATATGTGCATTGTTTGGAAAAACAAGTATATTCAGATACTTTATACTGCGGTAACTTTCGCATTAAATGTGGGCATATATACCGGACAAAGGCATGGCTCATTTTCGATCAGTATCAATGAACGCTGTTAGTTAATTAAATCACTAATTTTTATATTCTTCCGCATCATCTTAATCTCGACACAAATTTTCAATTTTTTTTCCAGATTCTGGAAGTTATATCGATACACTTCTAATGGAATTTTATACTCGTTTGAAAAGACCGGTGACATTCACTATACGGATGGTATGCAGAGTTTAAATATTTGTTTAAAAAATGCTAGGAGGACATGGTGAATTTAAAAAACTTCGATCGATTTAAAAATATCAAATTTTGATTTCGAAATTTGGATTTAGATATTGAAAAATGGAAGAAAATGATGACAATATATTGAATTCTGATTCCTGATTGAAGACGAATTTTTGGCATGTTTTTTCCAATTTTCGCATATTATAGGTTCTTGAAAACAATAACACATTCGAAGAAGCAAAAAAGGTGCTGATGAATGAACATTTTATAGCTCCATCATACTTGATCATAGCTGGTACCAAAGCAGAACAGGCCTGTGTCATAACAAGGTTTTATAATAACAATTCCATTCTAAGTCACATTCAATTTAAAGTTTTTATTTTGATTCATTTAATTTTACAATTTTTTAAATTTCTTTCAGGGATCGCTGGAAGACTGCAGATCTAGAGTGTATCGACTCAAAAAAAGGTCGATGGTTTTTAGTAGAGACTAATTTTGATCACTGGAAGGTCAATAAAGACAAGCGTCGGTTTGTATCAAATAATAATTTTCATTCCATGCTTTAAAAAAATAGAAGTATCGGAGAAAACACAAGAAACTGAATGCTATTAACAATTGCCAAATAAACCCTATCATTTTAATACAGCTGGAAATTATTCAATAACAGTGAAATTATTCAATAACAAAAAAATAGCAATAACAGTAAAGTCATTAATTTTTTAGAAAAACAGCGGAAAAAGCCCTTCTACAAGTTGGTAGACATGCTATAACATGTAAGCAAATGCTCGAAATTCTCTCACTTCATCCAGTTCGAAATAAGTGAGTTTGTTTTAAAATAAGAGAAAAAGATTTATCAGAATTTGTTTTAAAAAAAGTGTATTTTCGTCAAAAATAAAGTAAAATATGGTAAGAAAGCAATAATTTGTTTTTCCTTTCTTTTGATAAAAGTAATGATTTTAGCTCAATAAATTATAATTCCCTCACTAAAAAAGTTCTTTTTTTGCTTCTAATAGGTGTAAATAAGATTTTGTTAGCAAGCAATAATCACATGAGTATGTTATTCTCTAAAATTAATTGTTCATATTGATTATGTTTTTTATGGCGGCAACTTCTTTCTTATAGGTTATAATTCATTCATAAAAAATAATAAAGAAACGGAAATTGAAAATTTTCCAATGGTAAGAGTTTATATGAAAATGAAAAATATGACGAAACTGATAAGTTTAGTCATAAGTGATAAGTTAAAATTTTTCCACTTATCACATTGTTGTTTAGAATTCAATCAACATTAAAATTCTTCAAACAAAACAAAATTATCTGTATTTTACAGCTATACGATTTTTTCCACAGTGATGTCACCATTAAACCAACGTGCTTTGCATGAATATACTATTGTTCGGGAATAAAGATCGTTGATAAAAGAGCTGACTTTCTGCATTTTCCAGTAGTGATATTTTATGCTTGATATTGATGATTATCTTGAAATAAGTTGTTTAAATGAATATGAATTTTATAATGATTCAGTATTAGTGTATATGAATTATGATAAATTTGCATGTAATCTTGATAATTGATTCTTTATTTGCGAAATATTTTCTGTTGAAAATAATGAAAATCATAAATGCATAATTTAAGTTAGAAAATTATTATTTTGTCTGGAAGCCATGAAATTATGAATTGCAATCGGAAGCAAAAGAAGAAAGTGCTCATTTCAGACCATAATATTTTAATCTTTTCAATAGTCTTAAAATTTTGATTGCTCTACTTTTACCTCAATTCTCAATTGTCTTAACGAAGATGCTAATGAAGTCGGTAGCGGAGAATATTTTCGATTACTAATCAATCGAATGGAAGAAAGTGTTTGTAAATATCCTTCGCATCGTCGAGCCTTATCATCATTATTAACAAATCAACTAACTCTCCTTCTATCACGCCCCAATCATATCAAACAATGGTTGAGATGTTTTAAAAGTTATGATTTTAATTCATTCATTAAAATAATTGATTATTTGATAATTGTTATTAAATTTACTAATTAACTACAATTTTAATAATTGTTATTATGCACTATAATGTTCTCTTTATAGATTACTTGAATTTTCGATCATTCGAAATTAGTCAACAAATAATTTATGACAAAGTGAGATGAGAAAAGGAAAAGAGTGAAATATTTCGAAAATTTTACAACAAAAATGAAAGGAGAAGAGAAAGAATTCTGCTAAATATAGCAGAAGTAAGAGATTTATATTATCCACAGAAATTGAACTATCATCTAAGAGTCAGTTGATAGGGTTGCTTTACTTTATTGACGTCAGCAATGGTTTACGATTAAAGCGAGTGACCAACAGAACAGATGCAAGCAACAGCCGCATTAAAACATTTTGCTTAGGGACCATCTATGTTGTGTGTGTGAGTGTGTATGTATGTATTCCAATATAAATGTATACATGGACTTACAGATTTTGTTATGCTTGCTAATTTTACCTGAAATTTATCAATTGTAAGCTTTTTAATTTTATCAGTCATTCGTTCAATAGTGTTATCAACGGTCAAGAAAATGATTACAAGTGAAAGGTATGAAGGGACTAGGTTATCACTTCTAACTCGGTTAGCCAACAAGTGCCGCTGCGGTACTTCTGAACACGGATATGAAACATCCTTTGAAAGAAGAGTAAGTTAAGCAAAGAATAATTTGATATGTCTTAATAATAAATGGTCACTTTGATGTTAAAGTAAATCCTAGAAATAAAAACTTCATAATTTTTATAGGTCAAATCATGCTTACGTTAGTATTTCTCCTCGCAAACTTTTAACTAACTAACCAGGTTAAATCATTTATTCAGAATCTCTTAGTTATCATGATGCGCACGTCGTTATTAGTAATAATAGCAAAATCAAATATACTTTTCTTATTACTGGTTCTTTATTGGAAGTGGAAGCTATTAAAGTATTATTTAAGAGATATGCTTTTTTATGTAGTGATTCAATTTCCAATATAAATTTAGTT